ACCCCGGGCCCCTCCTCTGGGCCCCTTGCTGCTCTCCGCTGGGACCGGTCGCTGGATGTGTCATCAGCGGGCTTTCTCCAGGCGCTCTGTTCCTGTGCCCGCCCGGCCTCCCCCAGGCCTGCTGCCAGCTGCCGTACCAGACCTGCCTCTGCTACTGTCCCTGGGCAGGACCCACCTGGTGGCCTCTAGCCAGGACCTCAGGGGCCACAGCCACAGAACATCCAGAGGTGAAACTAAAGCCCACAGCACAACTTTTGCCTCTGGAGGGTCCTGCAGAAGAGGAAGCAGTAGCAGTGCAAGCTCCCATGGGTGTTTCTTCCTCTTCTTCCTCCTCTTCTTCTGAGGAAGAGGATTTGGGGAACGATCTGGAGATGCGCCTCCCGCAGAGGCTGGCGGTGGACAGCACAGTCAACACAGACCCTATTCTTCTTGAGAAGTCTCTGAGGAGGCAGGGTGCCCTCTGCCAGCCCGAGTGGAGGTATTGGAGGAGAAACGGGCCTGAGCCCTGTCCTGGGAAGCCAGGTACAACACCTCCTGAGATCCCTGCTCCCTTCCCTCCCATGTATCTCTTAGGAATCTCATGCATGTGTCCACTGTACTGGGATTGGAAGTAACACTTAGGTGTGTGGCCATGTTGAAGGGGAAGCTGGGACAAGAGGGAAATAGTGGGTTTCCATCTGAACAATAAAACCCACTAAGAAAAGATGGGTTGATCTTTGTGTGAAGGTTTGCATCCCTATTTAACAACTGTATTTTCCTTCCTCACTTGTCTGTGCTGACAGGGCACTGCCATTGTGTGCTTTGGCCTGCCCCATACCCCTACTTTTTTTTCTTGGAGCCCTTGAGTTTTCTCTAGATGAAGAGTCAAAATGCCCCCAGGTGTCAATTAGTCTTCAGTGTCCCGAGAAGCACAGAAACTGGTCTTTAAATATTGGTCACCAGGCCTTACTCCCCAGATGGTCCCCTTAGTAAATCAGAGTGGGGAGAAGCAGGGCCCTGTGTCATGCTGCTCACTCCTTACAAGGGATCGTAATCCCAATGGCTTACAAAGGGATTGTTGTTGGCAATCCACAGCCACCCTCACCTTCACCTTGAGCTATGAAGTGTGAGACATGCTCCCCTCATAGGTTTGGAAGCAGTCTATCGCTGACATGCTTCACCTCTGTCAAATTTAATTCCCAGTAAGCCCCAGCAAGAGCAGAAGCCTAAGTCAGCTGGCAGAGGTGGATGGGATGAGCCCAGCCCTAGACCAGATTCTTGGGGCTAACATCCAGTGAACTAAATGAACATTCAATCTGAGGCAGGAGGCTATGTGGTTAAAGAATACCACTCCTAAGGGCTTGAGGATCTTGAGGCACCACCCACATTGGGACCCACTGTGTGTCCCTGTTTAAGGCCACTGCCCTATTTCCAGGAGAGCTGAGGCTCAGCCAGAAGGACCTCTGAGCCCCTGAGGATTTCAATCTTGCCCCAGGGGTAAAAACTTTATTGGTCTTCAGTTCCAGAAAGTTAAATTATTTCTACACTGAGAAACTTTCTTGGTGACTCCTGGGCCCCTGGGTTTTGGGGTGGTTGGGAATGGACAGGGGTTGGCTGCTGTTGGACTTAAACTGAGGGCTCTAGACCTTCTTTGGTTTTCAAGATGGGGATCTTTCCCCCACCTCTGAGAGGGGGTTAACTAGAGAAACAAGAATCCAGCTGTGTGCAGCTGAGCTCCTCCTCCCCTGAGAGGAAACTCTGTATTGATAATATAAAGGGGGGGGGGGGGCAGGTTCTTGGGCTCCTGTAAAATAGGTCCCTGATCTTACAGTGAGAGGCTGTGAGAGGTACTGGCAGAAGCTACTTGGAAACAACTGTTTCTACCAGATATACCCTCTCTACAAGTGATATTATAAAGAAAATGGTGCCCAAACCTAGAGTTTTCATGCTAAATTCTCCGTAGCTTCCACTGCCTCCTGCTTCAGCAGACTGGAGAGAGAAAAGCTGTCTATCCAACAGAGAGGAGTCTGTAGGGAGCAACTGAGCAGCACGGGGTTCAGTTTCAGGGAGGAACGCCAGAGGGGTAACCAGAGGGGACATGGAGGTCAGACATGCCCCAGGCACCAGTCTGCCTTCCCACTGCTGTAGCTCTGCTCAGCACAACATTCCACCTAGACTGGTTCCAGACCTGGCTAAGTACAAACTTCCCCTAAAGCTCTTCTCTCCCTCCAGTGCCCAGCCACCCACATTCAGTCTCTCTGCCCCTCACCACATTTAAACAGCTCCACTCTGAAGTGTTTTGTTCCCTCCCAAAGCAATTTCTAATTGACTCTAAAGAAGATAAATATGGTACCTGCAGGTACTCAGCCTGGTTTGCCCTTAGGTATTAGATCACTTGTTACGCTCCAGGCAAAGGTTAATTCTTAGAGCTCAAACATGAGGATCACAGGACCTGCCCTCTCCCAGCTCACAACCCTGTGCCCAAAGCTATGGGGAATATACTCGAGTCGGGGTGTGGAGAAAGGGGCCATCCCTGACCCTTGTCACAGGTGGGGCATTGTGTGCCATAACTAACTAGTGAAAAAGAGGTGCAAAAAACCATGTGTGCACCAGGGTTGGGAACAATGGCAAATGCCAGAACTTTCCTTTTCTCCCCTACATATTTTGTATGTTTTTAAGGAAATCTGCTACTTTGCTTCTCCTAATTGTGCTTGATGGCACCGATCAACTACCGATGTTTGACAGTCAGTCTTAGGCTCTGCCTTGTAAGAATCCCCTCGTGTGGGTCCCTCTGCCCTCCACACTTGGTTATTTTTGAGTTACCGTTTGATCCTCACATAACAATTCTGGAGAGGTCAGGTTGCTGGCTGCCCAGTTAGGTTGCTCTTCTCCCATGCTTACAACCTAAACAGGATTCAGTCTGTGGTTTTCAAAGCCAGGACAGGGATGGATTCCTGTACAGCATTCCTTCCTTTTTAGATTACTGTCCTATTCCCCTTGGAGTCACATCTCCCAATGTTTTGTTGTGCCTCGTTCAACCTTTCAAAACTTGTTTCCCAGCAGCTTGCCACCTTTTCTTTGTGATCAGTGTGATTTACAAGCTCCTTTGACAGGTGGCAGTTGGCCACCTTTGCTTCCCCTACTGGCTGGCTTGAAAATCATGACTAATACCTTCTCCACCCAGTTCCAAATGTGGCTATCAGATATAACCTATCCAAAAAGCATAATGGCCAGAAATAACTACCAGACTTTATTTCTCTTTACAAACAGCAGTGCCCGACACTTACAGATAGTTCAGAGATTCTGGGATCCGTGATGTGGTTCTATTTCAGTCATCAAGACTCATCCCATGGTGGCACACACAACATAAGTAATTAAATTTGGGGTTTAGGAACAAGACGTGGCATCATCTGGAAAGAGAGGGGCGGCAAACAACAGAGGGTACGAACTGCAGTGGTGGGGAGAACCAAGGAGCTGGTTCTGGAAGCAAGCGGCATGAAGTGGCCACAGAGCAGAGGAAGCTGAACACAGAAAATGGAGCCAGGGTACAGTGACACATGGGAGGGAAAGGAATGGCCCTCAGAACGAACGCCCTGAGGAGCCAGGTAAAGCAGGATGGTCGGGAAGGGGCTTCTCAAGGACTCCTTGCGTGGTTCTTCATGCTCCTTTTGAGAACGAAAAATCCCATGCTCTCTTCCCAGGAAAACGCACAGACCCACGATTTTGCATTCAGTTTCAGAAGGCTTACAGAACCCACAAGGCTGATCACAGTCTCCTTGGGGAGGCCAGGATCCCACTGAAATGACACTTTACCCTAGGGTGATGGGCATGGGTCTGCTTTATCAGGCCTCTGTCCATGGGAGTCTGTTCCTCCCTAGGAATGCTAATATAGCTCTACATAAAACTTAGTTTTCATCATATAAAATATTGGCATTCATCCTGAGGAAAGACTTGTTACATTCAGAATGAGATGAATTACCAGGCAACCAAACAGACAGATGCAATATTGTTGACACGGTACCTTAAAGAAGTTTAGGGCACATCAAGGACTTTTGAAAACCAGTGACTTTTGGGGCGCCTGGGTGGCTCAGTTAAGTGTCTATAACTCCTGACTTCAGCTCAGATCATGATCTCACGGTTTGTGGGATTGAGCCTTAGGTCGGGCCCTGTGTCAGGCTCTGTGCTGATAGCACGGAGCCTGCTTGGGATTCTCTCTCTCCCTCTCTGCCCCTCCCCAGTGCACATAAATAAATAAAATCTCTGACTTTTGAGCCTTATAATTATAATCAGCATAAGACTCTCAGGATTTTTTTTTTTTAATAGGAAGCTAAAAGAGTAGTGGTGGTAAATACCTGAGGAGGCATTACAAAGTGGTTAAGTCCTTCTTCAATGGACGGAGGCAGAGTGCAGGCCTCAGGTGACAGTCGAATAAGCAGCAGCATCTTCACCCATTAAGACTTCCCGGCAGATGAGCGGCAGGAAGGCACCTGCCACAAGGGGCACAGGAGTCTGGTGGCCACGGCCAGGGCTCCCTGACGGGGGCCTGGGGAGATTGCTCGAGGATGCCTCCTCCACAGAAGCTGCAGGGGGTGATTGGCCTGCTTTGGGCAAATGTGTCCACAGCCTCTCTGCCATCGTTTCATAAGCCTTCAGCTGTGCGTGAGCGACACTGTTTCACCTCTTAATACCAATAAAAAGGAATTCTCTTCATTTCCAAATCATCTCCCTTTATTATAATTAGCCTTTACCTGGAAAGTAAGCAGTTAAAAACCATTCAGATAGCATCATTACATTATTATTTTCAGCCAAGGGGGGGGGG